AAGGTACTTGTGACTACTTATACGTTTATAGCTCGAAAATACTCTTTTGATTCCATTTTAAAAACTGGCCATTCCTGATCCGGTTGCGGGTACAGACATATGGCGTCTCCCTGTGCGTCCAAAGCTAACGAAGGGTTAAGTACCACCTGGTTTATCCAGGGTACCTGGCTGTACTGTACTGTACTGGGTGTATCTGAAATTCGGGGTCGTGGTGCCGTGGAAGACTGATCTGCTCTCTCAATCAAGTGCAATTAGTACAACAGCGACATAAAATATAGAATATACCATACATATAACGCTTTTTGGCTAAGTGCAATTGTGGTGCATTCAAATACATATATATATATATATAATTCGTTTTGATTTGGTATAATTATTTATCACATAAAATGTGCAACAGTGCAAAATTGTTTATGCTAATTGTTTGTCATAACTTGTCCCGCTAATTGTTTCAATTTCAAACATAATTAACTGTTGTGTAGAGTGTGGGGTGTGGAGTGTACTTGTGTGTAATTTTTAATGAATCGAATGAGTTTCATGTGTTAGTAATGAGTTCAATTAGTCTGCGGATAATAAATGCCTACAGCAAAATAATAGGGAAACTAATGGGTTATAATTAGGTAAACAGGAAAAACTAAATAGATTTTATAGTTGCTCTTGCATTTATTACCAAGCCTGTGAATCCCCTTCTTGTCTTGCCTTAAATATCCTTAGACTCCTATAACTCTTCACTCTTCACTCTTCACTGGACTTGTCCAGGTGAAATTGCATTTACAAACAATTTATTTTCGGCAATTTGCACACAAAACCCTGCAACTCAGTGGAAGTTGGTATTGCTGGTGGCTTTCCGTTGGCTTTATTAGAGGAGTTCTTGCATCGTTTTGTGTAGGTCAGCATTAAATGCTCACCTGTCTGTGCGCCAGGTGAGCTTACGGTGAGCGGAATAAAAGTGGCATTAAATTGCATCAGTGGCTCGGGTTGCTTTTGCATTGAGTGCGGCTTTTTGTGGCTTTCTGTGGCCATAAAAGCTGGCCCGGAATCAATGGCAGACAACACCTGATGCCCATTGAAGGTCACTTTAGGTTCCAGTCTGATATATATGTATATATAGCTGCTATATCGTAAAAATATCTGTGTTGTTAAGGGGTTTGCGTGCAGCCTCCAATGCCTTGCAATAAATGTTTTGCTAGCAATTCTTGTATCTATTTTTTTAGAGCAACTTTCCAACAAATGCCAGGTTTAATCTTAGCTTTTACTAGACACGGATCTCTTCTACATCAAATACATGTACCATATATATTCAGGGTTAAAGTTTTGAATAAATCTTCTAAGCGATGGCCAACACCTTGGTGCTCAGCAAAAGCAGCAACATTTTATATAGGTTTTTTTTTCTCGTGTGGTTCTACTCTTAATTTAACTAACATTTATATGTTTATATTTTGTTTATAAGTGGTTAATTATAGTTTCTTTCCTTAGCTGACTGCACTTTAGCAGTGTCCCAAATGTCCTGTCAAAATCTCTTTACCGAAAATATGCTCCAACTTCCAAGTACTTTTTGTGCTTATTTTCTTTTTTGGGGAAATATAATTTTAAATTAATGCTATTTTCGCTGGACAATGTTGAAAAGTTGCTCTCTGACCGCCAGGTGGAAGAGCTTAAGGGGAGAGCTTCTGGTAGTAACTTACCCACAGCACTCTCAAGGATGCCCAAGGATTCTCCTGGCATAATCTCAAACTTTGCGGTCGGTTTCAGGTGCACTTCAGCAGGCTCAGCACTCAGTACTCAGCCCTAGGGGTAAGTATTTTGTAAACTCAAAAGGTAAACATGTGCTCAATGTTTTAAACAATTGTAGTATAGTTAAGTTAAGTTGCATGCATTTAGTATTTAAACTTACTGCTGTTTGTTTGTGTGCTGCTGCTGTGGTGGTGGTGAGTGTTGTTGTTGTTGAGAAAAAGTAATAATTATAATCTGAAATCTTGGGTAGAAAAATCAGAAATGCATGTTTGTGGTTTGTTTTCAGTGTATATTAAGTTGTGTATTTGTTTTCCATTTTTTCTTTGTCTTCGTTTTTGTTTTTTTTTTTTGTGTATTTTCTTGTTTTTTTGTTCTTTTTCTTGCATTATCATATATTCGTATAATATATAATTAATTATTATAAGTAGTTAAGAAACTGTTTTGGTAAATCAAAAAAAAGGGGGGGAATTAGGCTAAAAGAGATACCTCATCAGTGGGAGAGCGGGGGCATAGAGACGGATCCAGAGAGTTACAAAAGAGGCAGGCAAAATTATTTACAGCAAATATATTACTAATTAGGAGCAGGAGGAGTAGGAACGGGGGGTAAAAATCATGGAGAATCTATAGATCTTTAGTTTTTGCCCATAATTATAATTGTCCATCTTTCTCTTTGATGTTTTCTTTTACCTTTTGCAAATATACAAATACAAATAAATACAAGTTCAAGGGGTGTCGAGTGTACTATATATTCTTATATATATATATATATGTTTATACTTGTATATGTGTGTATGTACCTATGGTTGTGTGTGTGTGTGTATGTCTTCTTTTAACATTCAACAATTGTGTGTGTGTGTGTGTTTTTTTTTTGTTTTTCTTCTCTTTTTTTGTCAGCTTAATATTCTGTATTTGCTTTATTTTCTTGCTTTTTAGCAAAGTTGCCCTTCTCTTTCTTTATTTGGTATTCAAAAAATAAATTTAAAACTAAACACTCTATAAGCGTAGAACTAAAACACCTCAAAAACACTAATTTAGATCGTAATATGTTTATTTACAAATTGTTACTTTATACACAATACTGTTTTTGCTGACGGCGCAGGCTTAACTCAGGAAGTAAATCTTCTTCTATTTTTCAAATAGGCTAGAAAGGAGCTTCTTATAGAATAGAAATTAAAATTAAGATATAATAAGAGTGAGTTAGAAGGATAATTGAAACGTCATTGAACGATCTTCGTTAGGAAATTAAAATCTTTTGGGTATTTCCGTTTCCGGTTTCGTTATTTACAGTCCAACTTATGTCTGCTTCGATTTCTTGTGGTTTCTTGTTCTTCTTGTTGTTGCTTTAAAATTTCGTTCTTGTTTTTGTTAGGATTATAGAAAAATAGGCCAAAAATATATATGTAGATTTGTGTGTATGTCTGAGTGTATTTTTCTATACCTTTACCGCAATTGTTGTTGTTCAAAAAGTGTGATTAAAATGGTTTTGTTTTTGTTCTTCGTCTTTGATTTGTTTTTTCAAGTTGTTCGGCATTTGTTCTTGTTCATTTTTTTAGTGCGCATTTGTTGTTGGATTTCGATTTCGTTTGTGCATAATTTCAAGGATTACAATTACAAGTCGCATATACATACAGTGTATTAGTGTATTCGTTATGGTATTTATCGTTCTTACTTAGAGTTATACACACGTTGTCTGGCGTTTAGTATTATTGTATTGGTATAGAAATTGTTGTCGTTATTCATTTATATTTAAAGGTGGGTTATTTTGCAGTTATTTATTTATTTTTTTTCATATACTTTTACTGAATCAATTCAATTGAAAGAAAACACCAAGGCGGCTGTCTCCCATTTATACTTTTCGGTTAATAACGAAGATCGTTGATATATATATATAGAGAGAGAGGGGAGGGGGTAGGATAGGTGAGGGGATGTAAAATAAAAACTTATTCGTAAAACGTATCCTCAATTACACTCTTTTTTATTATACGACGTACTGTGTATAAGATATGAAATTTTATTGCTCGCAATTTCATATGTTATTCCGTTTTCAAATAATTAAACACGTTCAGGTTACATGCAAACGAACGAAAGGACACTATATATAAAGACTATATATACGGCTCTGGAAGCAAATTAAAAATCCATTTAATTAGTGAGCTGATTGCGTGCAGGAAAAAAACAAGGAAAATCGGGTTTTTTTATCAGAGGGAAACGCAGAGGGAAATGCATTGTGTGAAAATCGCTTCAGAGGTCGCTCATTAGTATTATTTAATTCGCAATTCTCTGCCCATTGTTATTTATTTGTTTTTTTGCATACACAACCGTTTTAAACACTTTTTTATTCGTATCGTAAATTTCGGCTTAAAAATTTGCTTGATTGTATTTCTTAATTGATTGATTTGGGCTGGGACTTGGCCCCAATAGTTCCCAATTCCGCGTTTCCGACTGAGAGAAGAGCGAGGAAAACCATATAGAATAGATATAAAAGTGACTCGGGGATAAAACCAGAAGGGTTCAGTTTCGATTAGGGTTAGTGTTAGCGTTTTTACAAGCTTCTCGTTTCGCTTATAAGCTTATCGTTTTATGTATATTTATAAGTCCATTGTTATTTAAATATACGTTAATTATGTAAATAAATTTACTTAACTACAGATAGCTGCCATTTCCGTGAGAACTGTTTTTTTCACTCGTGAACAGAACAAAATCGGGTGGAGATGTACATACATGCAAATCAAAACTGAAACGATAATCTAAAGTCATATTTACACACATGAAGAAACCAAACACTGAGCCAACAAACTTTAAGTATTGAGTTTAAACTGAGGTTAAAAGGTTCAGGTTCAAACGAAGGGAGTTTGTTTTGTTAATGAAGTCAAGTCTTTTTCTTTATGTAAATGTTTGCCTCTTCTTCTAAGTTGTAAATGTTTTTGTTTTCGTTTCGCTTTCATGTCGCTAATCTGGCTGTTATTGCATTGTATATAAGTATATTATATTGCACTCGTTAGCTTGTTCAGTTATCAGTTATCAGCAATAAAACCTAATGCAATATTTTCCCCTTCAATTGTATATTTGTTTGTTATTGGTATATGTATACTATTAATATATATTTAATATCGGCTTTTTGTTCTGTGTATATGTATATATAATTTCATTCTTCTGCTGCTCGCGCTTTTACATATTATTATTTTCGTTTCGTTTTTGCTTGCTTCGTTTTGATTTCATTTCATTTGGTTTATATTTAACATTTAAACTTTAATACACGTATAATTAAATAATGTACACGAAATATATATTTCATATAGTAAGATATATTTATAATATATTTGTATTTAATGTATACTAAAAATAGTTAGGCCCAATTTTGTTTTCCTGGCGAAACGAATTCCGAAATGAAAAAAGAACAGCTTTTGTCTTGTTTTTTACCATTTTTAGTTTGTTTTTTTCTTTTTTGTTTTATGGAATTATAATTTAGCTTTAGTATGTATAACTGCTTTTTGTTCTTGGGCTTTCATTAAGTAAATTTTTTTAATAATAATAGTGTAATAATAATCATACCTTTCCTTTAAGCATAACCGCTGCCTCATTTTGTTATTTTTAATCATAGCATTCTGTTCTCTTACTTGGCAATCCTTTTAGCTTTGTCTTTTGTTTTTGTTTTTTTGCAAGCTGCTGTATTTTATTTTTTTGTTTTCTTATGGCTTGTATTTTCTTGGGACTTTTCCTCTGGATTTTCTCTCTCGTCAAAGGACAGGCGGGAGTCTGTGTGTGTGTGTGTGTGTCGTGCGTTTCGAGTAATGTTTAAACTTAATAGACTTTTTTTTTTGCTTGGGGAAGGGAAGGACACGTTAAAACTAATCTTTTGTCATTAATGTTTAAACTTTAAAGTGTGTTGTGTGTGGGTGTGTGTCTGAGAGGGTGTGTGTGTGTGTGTTTGGTGGGTGGAGTGGAGCTTAACGCCCTCGCGCCCAGCGCAGTAACGCATCCGCTAACACATCCAAGTGAGCCTTCGTCTGCAAAGAGGTCAAGGAGAAAGGAAAATAAAGATTAGTTAAAGGAAATTACGTATACGCCGGGTGGGCCATGGTTAAATATTGAGTTTCTCCTTCATTATTAGATTATTTCTTTTATTTATGCTTTCCAACTCACCGTCTTGTAGAACATGCAGGATCTCCGGTCCTCGTCCTCGCCATCGGGACAGTCAATGAAGCCGTCGCACAGGACATGATCGTCTATGCAGCGATATCTGCCCTGCCGGTCGGGTATTGGGCAGGCGAACCGCTCCATGCCATCCATGGCGGTGGGGCATTCTAAAAATAATTCAAAAAAGCAAAGTAAGTACGGTTGACAGTCAGTCAGGCTGGGGTATATGGCTTAGCCCAGGTAAGAAGCCCCCAAACTTCGCCCATAAATCGTTCAGGGTAAAACTTTTGCACACGCTAATGTCTGCCATGATTTGCGTCTAAATGTTGCAACTTGCAGGGGGGAATACCCGCGCATAAAACTATGCTATGGATAGTATTTTCCTACCAGAACTGCATTTGTTTGTGTGGCGGCCGCTTAGCTGGTTTTTCCAGATTTTTCTTTTGCTATAAATAGTTTCACGTCTGCTACTTTACTGGTCGGCGAAAGGCGTGTGTTGGACAAAATCCAGGGTGAAAATCCAGGCTTGGCTGGCTTCGCTTTGCTTGCACCGACGCCGCCACCGCCATTGAACAACAAAAACAAGTGAAATACAAACTTTATTTTTTTTTTTTTGTGGCATTTTCTCTATTCTCGTTTACCATCTCTCTTGTGCTTTCTTTTTTTGTTGCTTTTTCCACCAACAAATACATAAAAATAAATCACTTGTAGGACATGTTGGCGCCTCCGGTTTAGTTTTGCTGCCACATGTGTGTGTCGGTGACGGTGTTGGGGTGTGTGTGTGTGCTGGTTGCATGTTTGTGTATTGGGATTTGCTGTTCAAGTTGTCCGTATAGGTTTTTCCTTCCTTCCCAAACCCTTTTTCCCCTCCACAATTGCTATTTCCGCGCTTCGCTTTTGCTCTTGCAAAACTTTCCTGTGCTATTTTTGGCTGCATCCAAAAACTGTTCCGTTCGGTTTTGTGCTGCTCTGTTCTGGTTTTTGCCACGCGACTCTGTTTGCCACTTAATAATTCCGCGTTTTTAGTTCAGTTTTCATTGCCATAACATGCAGGTAGTATTCAATTAGCAGGTGCTTCTAGCTTACATTGAAAAAATTATGATTTTTCAAGTGAATTTTGTTTACTAAGTTGATTGGTCTAATGAAAATGGTTTTTAGGAATAATTGTTGAATTTTATACAAGCTTAAATTGATGAAAAATCGTAATTTTGGTTAAGAAAATCGAATAAATAGTTTGTGGAACGAAAAATAGCCTAATTATGGTTAAGGAACCTTCACTTTTATCCTCAATTTATTTTATATTTATTTTGGTCACCACTAAAATATCTGGCTGAATTATTAATTTTAAAACTACCTTTACCTAAATGATAATTTATCATGTCATTTTTTGTAGTTTTCTATTAAGAAACGTGTCCCGCTCACTTTAAATTAATTTTATATACAAAACACATGCTTCCAAATCTCCCATTCTCCCTAGTAACTGTCATCGTGCCAAGTGCATGCGATTCATTAACTCGTTTTGTCTACCCAAAAAAAAAAGAAAGAAAAGAAACCTAGCATAAGAGCCCGGCGCCCTTCAGCACCTGTCGGCAGATGCCATTCCCAACTGTCAAGTTGCCGGGGCTGATGATGCAGCTGTTAAATCACCTGACAAAGCATAAATGTGCATCGCAATGACAGAAACCCGACACTCGACTGGCTCTGGCTCTGGCTCTGGCTCTGGCTCTGGCTCTGGCTCTGGCTCCCTTTTCCTGCTCTGCGGGAATGCCATTCCAGAGCAATGTTGTTCGGCTGTCAGAGTGGAATCAATTGATGATTCGCTTCGTTAGGCACACTGTCTACCGTTGACGCCGACTGCGTGGCGTGTAGAAGAGCCATTTGCATTGTGAAGAGCGGGCGACCAGGTCGGGGACTTGCTGCTACTTCATCGATGGAGGCCACAATGGCGATGGTTATGGTGATGATGATGGTTTGGTAAATGCTGCCGCCACAGGCGCTTCTCAGGATTGCCATTTATCAACTTGGCCGGTCGCCGCCGCATAATTGCATCAATGGATACTTGGGCACGATTTTATTCCAGAGGAGAGAGGAGCCGTAGGAAGCGACAACGAAGTGCGCAGCTTTATGCTGATTTTTGCATACATTACGCATACGCAGCGTTGTCGCCCATTAGTTTTATTACCAAGAAGGAGAGCCAGTGAATTCTTGTACTGTTGTGTTTCTGTTATCCTTGTTGTTTTCTTCAGCAACCCACATTTTGTACTTTGAACTTAATTTCACACACAAATAACTTGCAAATTGTTGTAAAGTTGTACGAATTTTCGGTCCCCTTAGCTGGCATGCTCTTTTTTCGGGCCAACTCAGCCAAGTTGCAAGTCGCAAGTTGCCACCCACCCACTCAGTCAGTCAGTCAGTTAGCTAGCTACTGAGGCTATTGAACTTTAAATTGATTTTTTCGCTTGTTTGCTAGTTTTGCTCTTCTGCTTTCTCGAATTGCAACTAAACTGGGGGTTGTGTGGGTGTGGTTCTGGATCTGGTTCTGCTTCTGGCTTTAGTTCCTCCTCCTCCGCCTCTTTCTCCTTTGGCCCTGCTTATCGTTGTTGCAATAAATCGAAATAAGCGACGCCACCTAGAGCTCTGGGGGTGAATGGCATACTTTCTGATGGACGGGGCCAAATTAAGCTGGTCTAGTTTCTCTTATTCAAACTATGGGGAAATGTATATTATTCAAACTTTCATAACTGTGTCGCCTTAAATATTCGTGCTGGAACAACTTTGATTTGATTTTTGTGTACCAGTTCTTAAGTTAAATGTATGGCAAAAGAGGTTTATAGTTGAAAAAGGGTATTCATTTGAAGGCAGGGAATTCTCAGGGGATTTAAAATAGCTCTAAAAGTGGCTTAAGAGTGAAAAAAGCTTACGTTATCAAGTGACTTTCTATGAATTTAATATTTAATTTTAAGAAATGGTTTCTCTCTTGCTTGAAAACCTCCTAAGAATAAAGAAACTAATATTTTTAAGCCAATTCCTAATTCCAAACAATTAATTTAATGCAAAATAAACCCAGATTATCTTCTAGAAGCTCCTTACAAACTTCTATTCCTTCTCCAAATGTCCATGCACTTGCCATACAGCTTTTACTGACTGCAAAACAATATCGCAAGTAGATATAATCACATGTCAACAAAATCCACTTGCAATACGGAATGGAAATTGTGAAACTTCTTATGACGTTCGAGTGCAACTTGCTATGCAAATCCAAATGGGACGAGAGGCAAACACCGAACGGAGAAGTGCAGAGTTGGAGGCGACTGTACCGAAAGTTTTTGGCTTAAAAGAATCAACGCATGTTGACATACCAAGACAACAACAATGATGGCTAACAAGCCACATGAACAGCACAAGGGAAAAGCAACACAAACAACAACAACAACAACACGTCGGGTGTCAAAAAATCAAAAGCATAAAAAGGATTTGGCTGTTGCCAAGCCAAGGAGGAGCAGCTCTAGCTCTAGCTATATCTATGTATAAATATATATGGATGTGGTTGGAGTTTGAGCTCTGAGCTCTGCGAACTCAGCCAAAAAGTGCCAACTGATGCTATTTTTGTCGCGCGACAGACAGAGAGACGTATACGTGGCGTATACGTAATGCAGGGAGCATCGCGCGAGTTCGTGGCGAAAAATAAGTCGCAGAAATTTGTAACAAAGTTCGCGTAGTGAGAAAACCTTTTGCTCCCACACACACACACACATAGAGAGAGAAGGAAAACTGGAAGGAGAATGGAGACCTGCAAACGCCTGTTGTCTCGTCAGTGTGGCGCCTAAGAGGCTGCCAACAATAATAACAAAACCCACGAAAAGAGAGCAAACTGCACACAAATGCAGTTGGAGTAAGCCAGTGTGTGAGTGAATGAGTGTCCTGAAACTGAGTGGGTGTGTGTATGCAGGAAGCGCCAGCCAAAGGAAACAGCGCGCAACGATTTTGCAGCAATAAATTGATAGTTTTATGTGGCGCACATAAACAGGAGCAGGGCGTAGGAGCAGGGAATTCGTAAGAATATTGTGGGCGGCAGATCCTGGGACATTAAACTCGCCTGCTTACTGGATACGCCCCCGTGCATATATTTCAGCCGTAAATAGCAAAAGGACAATGCATAAAACAAAAGGCTGATCAAATTTATAAATGACAACTACCCAATTTATGGGCCTTTCTTCGCTCTCTCTCTCTTCCTATTTGCTTGTTCGTGGGCCAAGTCAAGCCTCTTAACTCCCTGCTCCTGATGAATTCCTTCCTTCCCGACAATTTGTCCCGTTGCAAATTTCACTTTTTGGACCCAAATGATGCCCAGGAAAGCGCCTCTGACACATTTTTCTTTTCAGCTTCAGCTCGGGGTCTCCCTCTAGCCCAGAACTTCTCCTGGATGGTCTATGGGCCTGTCATTGTCCTTCATCAAAAATGAATACACTGTGTTTGTCAAGTTTCAGCACGGACAACTGGACAGCCAAATTGAGGTAACTCATCGCTCCTGTCATAATTTGTTCGCCTTTTTCCCTTTTTCCTTTTGAACGTAATAAGGTTTTGATTAAATTTGTTGCTCAAATGTATTTGCCAGCCGAAAATCTTCCGCTGTGTCTATTATTTTAGGACTTCTGTTTGTGTGTGTGTGTGTATGTGTTGTCCTGATGGGGATCGCGTTTCCTTTTGGCTTTCGCCAGGACTCTGGCAGCCAGCATCTCGCCTCCATTAATTTAACATATTTTCTTGTCGCTCCACCCGAAGCGCTCTCTCACCCACGTACAATAAATGCCCGCAGGTTAGATTTACTTTACTTTCTACTCCTCAGCTTTTGTTTTCTTCCTTTTATATATATATATTTTCTTTTTTTATATATACACCGCCTTGTTTTTCTTTGAGGGGCGTACAAAATACAGTAGCAGCAACGTAAACAGCCGCCAGGTGGCGAATGGCAGAGTGCGCCTTCGGATCGCATTTATTGTAATTTAATAAGCCCGTTTCCATGTACCCACTGAAAATGTGCTTTGACTACGCGCTGTGTGTGCCTGCAAGCTAATTGCCGGTTCCGCCCCTGCATGTGTGTGTGTGTGTGTGTGTCGGAAGAATGGCATTTCGGCGTCACTTCATAGTCATAGCTGATAAATCAGAG